TATCGTAAGAGAATTCAAAAAACATGAGATTAACGTTTGTGTCTATTTATATACTCCTCCAACCTTCTAAAGTATTTGTCAAGTTTTGATTTTAAGCCGTCAACACCAGTGGCGGATCGAGGAATTCGGGTAGATGAGGCATAATTGGTCCTAGTTAAGGAGTATTAAAGTGTTGATACAAAAATAATTTTATTAATTTATCTTGTAAAATATTTTTAGTATATTTTTATCTAATGAATATAGATGTAATTTCTTATTCAATTATAGATCAATGATTAATCTCGATTGACTACAAAGAATCAAAGCTGAACAAATACTCTCAAATGGAAGAGGTAAATAGTTTTGAAATGAAGTTTTTTCTTATATTGATTATTACATTTGTTGTGTAATACAGCGAGAAAAATAAAAATAAAATAATCCGAACTTATAAAATGTTCGGATTTTACAACGAAAACTAAAGAAAAAGAAAAATGGAGTTCTTCGGAAGCTCGAACGGATGCAAGAACACGAACGGACTCTGCGTCGGATGGAAACAGTGGGTCGCCAGAGATGTTTCTGAAAGCGTAGGTAAGGAAAGCGGAGTCGCCGGAGTTTTCCTTAAGGTAGTATTGCCCGCCTCCCGCACTGGCAAATGTGGTCAATCTCCTCCTAGGATAAAACCGTAACGTGCTAAGTCTAGAGCGGTAGAACAGAGCACCGACGAACGAGAACGATGGGAAGTTATCGCCGGAGAAGATGATCGGAAATGGGAACTTAGTCGGAAATCTTTTAGTAATGCAGAGAAGGTTTTTCGAGTGAGTATCCTCCTGCAGCCAAGCCCTCCTTTTATATGATGGAAGTTGGCTCTTCGCTTGGACCGATCGGAGATGACGAGGCGTCGCTGGCGCCCTCTTCGCCTCCCTTGTGCATGCATGCTTCTTGGACGGCACTTCGTTAATCACGAAGTTTCCACGCGAGTTCAATTCCGTCTCGTAAAAAGTTAGCCCCGCCACACTGCAGACACGAGTGCGGCGGGCTGCGCCGCGCCCAGCCTCGCCCCGACTCGAGGCGCGCGCGCGCGTGCCGTGTCGTGCCGAGCCGGACGGGCGGCGGCGGCGGCGGCGGCACGCGAGGAGTCCTCTTCTTGTTCCTTTCATAAGCTCAATTAAAAGCCTAAGCTTAAATATGAGAATATGAAAGGTTCAAAAACCGGTGTGGGACAAGGTTATTTACTGTACCCTCGTGTTCAACTTTGAGAAATAATTTCTCATTCACCCGAGCACCGTTTATGGCGTGTCATATGTCAAGACGTTCGTCTTACTTACGAGATTAAACGTCCATAATTATTTCGGAAAAAATTTTGTGGACCCTACCGAATTTATGTCCAAAAATGCCCAATTTATTAAAAATTTCCAACATAGAATAACCATGCAAAAAAATTATTAACATGCCAATGGAATATAATAATATTATACGCATGCATGCCAAATAACATCAAAGAATCAAAAGCACCGACCTAAAATAATATATAATTGATCTGCAGAAATAAAAAGCTTTTGCAATGCTTGCGATAAAAAAACTGAACGATACCTTAAAATTCGGAGAAATTAATGAAAAGTGAATTAGAAGCAATTGGAGATGCGTGTACCCTTCAAAATTCAGCTCACCATGATTACACCATAGCAAGCACTGTATTTAAAAGAATATAGAAGTCGGCTGTGAGCTAGGAAAAGTACCTAGAGTATCCAAGCCAGCCAAGTACCTGGAGTGTATCTCACAGCCTCACCATATTTCAGAAACAACATCTTTTTTTCCTTTATCTGTTGGATACAATCATGCAAACTAAAACTCATTCGTATAATAAACAAGCTAAGAGCATGTTTGGATAGCATTTTCAAACTTAATCTACACCGTTAAGGTTTTATGAAAGGTTCAAAAAATCGGTATGGGACAAGGGTATTTACTCTACCCTCGTGTTCAACTTTGAGAAATAATTTCTCATTCACCCGAGCACCGTTTATGGCGTGTCATATGTCAAGACGTTCGTCTTACTTACGAGATTAAACGTCCATAATTATTTCGGAAAAAATTTTGTGGACCCTACCGAATTTATGTCCAAAAATGCCCAATTTATTAAAAATTTCCAACAATCCCAACTTTAAAATTAAAACTTTGCCCATTGTTATGTTCTTGTTTTTTGTCATATTTTTTCCTAAATCTAAATAGTTTAATTTAAAATAAGATATCAATTTTAAACATTTCTAAAGATTTCAATATGAAAGGTGTGGACAAGCAAATATATATTAATTTCAGTTTTATTTCAAAAATATCACAATGCTACATGGTGTAAGTGTAATGTGTGGAAGCTTATTGTCACTTTTCAAAGAGAGTAAAAGTTTGCACACAACATACTTAGTGTGAGTGGATTGTGATATTTATAAAATAAAACTAAAATTAATAAAAGATTTCAGAGAAATAATTTATAACTAGTGTTAACTTCGTGCTTCGCACAGGCTTGTATATATTCTAATTTTTTGAGATTCTATAAATATATTGTTAGTTACTTTAGTTTTTAATAGTGAAAAAATATGTTTTAAACTAGTCGAATATATATTAGTATTTTAATTTAAAAACAAAAATTTTATACAAAATTAATTGTCATTGAATTAAGTACTTATAAAAGTAGTTTTAATTAATAAAATATTATAATAAAAAATGGATAAATTACATAATGATACATCTTTAGAGAAATGTATATGTGTCATAATGTGACTTGTCACCCTTCCATTAAACCAACTTTATTCTATTTACTTTGTTGAAAAATATATGTAGCAATAAAATAAATGATGTTATAAGACAAAATTTTTAAACAAAGTATTTTATTAATAAATATGCATATGTGATTAAATTTATATTATCTTTTTTTTAGAATTAATAAACTAAAATAAGTTGTGGATAGTATGTATGTGTGTGTGTGTACACACACACACACACATTTGATAAGAGTTTTTGTATATATATACATCTGTGTGTGTGTAAGGGTCCGTTCCGTAGGACTTATTTTTTCTACTTATTACTTATTCTTATTAAAATCACATCAGATTAGACCAGACCAGATCTAATCAGATCAGATCAGATCCAATCAGATCAGATCAGATTCAATCAGATCAGACTCAATCAGATCAGATCAGATCCAATCAGATCAGACCAGATCCAATCAGATCAGACCAGATCCAATCAGATCAGATCATATCCAATCAGATCAGATCAGACCAGATCAAATCCAATAATATCAAATCAAGAAAAAATATAAAAAATAATATTTATATTTTTCAAGGATTAAATAATCTTTACTATTATTTGATTAATTCACATTACTTTATTTAAAAATACACACACCTTAATCTTAATTAATATTATAATTTTAGTTATTATTGTTGTTGTTATATTATTATTATTGTTGGTGTTATTGTTATTGTTATTATTATTATTATTATTAATATTATTATTATTATATTTCAACTACAAACCATTATTTTTAATAATTTTTAGCTTGTAGGATGGAAATGATGCATGGAAGCAATGTTAAAGCTTAAAAGTTATATTTTTCATATTTTAAAAAGAGTTATTTTAAAATACTTGTTTATAAAATAATTATACAAAACTTATTTTTCAAAGTCATAAATATTTTATACTTAAAGAGACTTACTTTTAAATTTTAAGATGGTATAATATATATACGGATGAGTTAAGGACAAAATTGATAGAGGTGAAAAGGACATTAGTGTTTAAAATTTTATATGATCTTTAATTTGTAACATGAAATATATTATTATGTAATATGCATATAGAATATTTTTTTGTAGAATATCATCAATATTTTCTAATATTTGGTTACTTTAATATTGATTATTTAGTTTTCACTAAAAATTAAAAAGTTGTGATATTGAAAAGATGTTTAACATTTTAAAAAAAGTTTAAACATATCAATGATTAGTTGATTTTCTTATTTTACTTTTTTTATGTATATAAAAATTTTAATACTTTAAAACTATTAAATTTTGTAATAATTTTAATTTTAATTTAAATCAAATTAAAATTCATTTACACCGGATCTAATTAGATAAAATCAGATTCAATCATATCAGATCAGATCCAATCAGATCAGATCCAATCAGATCAGATCAAACACAATCAGATCAGATCAGACCCAATCAGATCAAATCAGATCCAATCAGATTAGATCAGACCCAATCAGATCAGATCAGAACTTCAAAAATTCAGATCAGATTCAATCAGATCAGGCGTACAGAACAGAGCCTAAGTTGTACTTTGATAAGAGTTTTTTTTGTAGATGAGTATAAGAATATTAATAAACATTTGAAATAATATTTTGTTATCACTCGTTTTCTTTAGTTTGTGAAATATATACTAATTTTCATAAGAATTTCTTGCATTTTATTTTTTTATTTTTAAATTTCTTTTATCTTTCTTTCGTTAAATGTAATTTCAGTTTTTCAAAAATAAAAGCTTTTGTTACATTTTATGCTGTAAACTAGGTTCGTATATATTTATCTTGATTTGTCTTGAAACCGATACCGAACCATCGCGAATTTTACCGAATCGATGCTTCGGGATCAGGATCGGTATAACATAAAATCTCATACCGAACCGCAATATTTTGTATATTATCAGTACGAGCTAAATACAGTACCATAAGGCTCACCCCTGTGCCGGTTCCAAAATTTACGGACCGAAACCATATCATGTCAAGGTCTAGTTAAACCAAAACATTTTCTTTTTTGAAAAATGCTAGGGGTACACCAAATGTGTACCCCATTTGTCCCCTATCCCTTCTTTGTCCACAAAAAAGGGTAAGAAATTCAAAAAAATGAATATATAAAAATAAAATAAAAATGGGTGGTGGAGAAGGGGGTGATGTACATTTGGATGTAGTATATTTAGTACTCTATCGTACCCGGTCACCCGGAATCCCGAATTCCTCATCTGGTTGGTTGTTTTATACTTTTACCCTGTCATTTTTGAATAATGACCAGTCATTTTTATAGGGAGGAGTCACGGAGGACCAAGCTGGTAAGCCTGGTTCCCTGGTCAACCCTTCACCCCGCCACCACCTACGCCATTTTCCCCTTCATGGAAAAGCCCTAAGCATCACACCTATATTCATACCTTACGTTGCAGTCCATACAATTCCTTAATACGCATTGATTGAAATTAAACTGTTCGTAATTTGAATCTTTTCAATTCAATTTCCATTTCCCGGTAGGCTTCGGATGGCTTCAGAGATCGAGGTAGTTGAGGAGGTGGGAGTCAGAGATCAAGAATCTGCGGCGTCAACGTCGGCCGTTTCTGGCTCGGTGGTTGATGAGGAGAGCTTGAGGAACGACGTGTACACGGCTGCAGCCTATGGGGACATGGAAAAGCTGCATAGATTAGTCGAGCGCGAGGGTTGCTCGGTTTCTGAGCCAGATAGTCTTGGTTACTATGCCCTCCAGTGGGCCGCTCTCAACAACCACGTTGCTGCCGCACAATACATTATTGAGGTTTTTATTAATGATCTGCCTTGATTTGGGAATGCAATTTAATAACTATTACCCTTTTTGCTATAAATTTCATTTCCTCAACCTGATACGATTTTTATTGCTTCTATCTTGGGATTTTGGGAACCATATGAACCACTTAATGTGTGAATAAATTGAATCAAAGAAATTTAGTACACTGCTGTTTCTTAACCAAATCTGAAAAATGTTACCTATATAATTCATAGAGTTACTATTTCATTAAAATTAGCATATTTTTCCAAATGATTTTTTAGGCTTTTGCATTTATGCTTAGTCTGGAAAGAACAAGTTAATATGATATATTTGGATGAGTGAACTGTACTGTCTTTACGTTTTAATTCTATTGTAGAAGTTCCACTTTGCTTTGAATAGAAGAGGGGCTGAGTGTGTGCGTGCGTGTGTAGTAAGAGGGAGATATATTGATAGATAGATAGATACATAGATAGATAGATAGTACTGGTAATGATTTCATGATATTGGCAGCATGGAGGAGATGTTAATGCTGCAGATCATACTGGACAAACGGCTCTACACTGGAGTGCCGTTCGGGGAGCAATCCAGGTTGCCGAGGTCTTACTCCAAGAGGGTGCTCGATTGAATGCAGCTTCTATGTGTGGGTATCAGGTTTTGTATACTTGCTTTCTTAGTTAGCACAAGTGATATGCTTTCCACAGTAGTCTATACCATTAGTAAGAGCGTTTGACACCACAATAAAGAATTTTAATGGTTCAAAAGTTTTAGAAGAATACACAGAAAAATACCAAAGCTACTTAACTAATACTCAAAGTTTGACCTGTTACATTGTAAAATAACTAGAATAATTTGCCCACTTTTCTTTTTCATCCGCCCCAATGTAATTTACCCACTTCTCTCTTTCCCTTCTAAAAAAAGAATATGTTGTCCGAAATGCTTCTTTCTTTTCTGAACAAATTTTAGTGACACACTTTTTACTTTTATACATGTTATCAACACTTCTCTTAATAATTGTGAAATCTAAATGGGTAAATTGTTCTGGGACAGAGATAGTATTATTTATAGGAAAACTAACATTAAAGAAATACTCCCCCCTGACCCCCCAAATTATTGACACTTTAACTTCATAGAGTTTAGGGAAAGTGTTGAATCATAAAAAATGTGTGGTTGAAATTTCTACAAAAGAATGAGAGAGAGAGAGAGAGAGAGAGAGCGAGCAAGAGAGAGAGAGAGAGAGAGAGAGAGAGAGAGTTGTTGTGAGGGACAGAATTGTGAAGTGTATTTTGGGACAGACGTAGAAGTAAAATGTGAAGTTCTTTGGGTGATGGAGGAAGTGAACATTTAAGAATAAAAATATTTGATATGAAAGAATTAAGAAGTTTTTGTCTTTTTGTATAGAATGTCTTCTGTGTCCAAGAGTTTCCAAATGCAGACATATTCCTTGTATGAAAGCACTTTTATTTTGGCCATAGTTGTTTATTGATGGACAAGCAAGGAGTTAAGTAGGCTAATTCTATCATTATCTAATTGTTGACTCTTCTTGATGTCCAATCATCATTCCAAAGTCTCATGACCTATGAAAAGCTAGTTCCTTCAATGTTTTCCTTGGCCATTGTTGACCTCAACAGGTTTGCATTTGGATATGCAATTCTGCTGATTGATGTGAGATTCAATGGTAAGGATGGTAAGGAGATGCAGACATATTCCTATCATTTTCAAGCTACTATGTGGTTTTTTAAGTCTCCGAGTTCCCATGACTTCTTTTCATACTGGATCACTTGTTTCTATATGGCCAGAACCCATCTCATTTATTGTTTTGATCTCGTCTCATAGCCAAATATACTTTTAAAATCAACCTAGAAATTCCAGTATTTAATATTTACGCATATTGACTTATTGCAAACAAAAAATCTAAAATTGCATGCATATACCTATACAAGTCTGTTCTATATTTGATAGTTCATTAGACACACACCAGCGCTCATATATACCGAGTATATGTATTCAGTATTTACCCTCTGCCCCATATTATTTGTCCTAGTTTGACTTTTACCCTTACTTTGACCACAAATCAAATAAAATTTTAAATAAATAAAAGTTATAAAATTTGATATATCAAAACTACATCTTAAACGAACCCAATTATATTAAATTTAAATTAAATATTCTTTTCTCACAGTTTATGGTCAAAGTTAGCATAAAAGTCAAACTAGGACAAATATTTTGGACAAAGGGAGTAGTTCACTATACCTAGGCGTGTGTACATGCTCGTGTGTGTATTTAAATGTCAACATATTTACACGCACGTGTGCGGGTGTGTATGGGTTATTCATTTCACTCGTAGTGGTTTTGAGAACTGGCACCCACAATGTTAATCTCAAATCAGTCTCCTCCCCAAGCACCAGGGAGTTAGAATAATTTTCCATACTTGTCCTAGATCTCATTAGGGGTTTTAGAAAATGCCCTTTCTATTACACTCAACCGTTTTCCATCTTTATAGATGTGCCAATTTGCTTCCATAGTTGCCAGAGCTCGGCACCACAGCCACATAACAAAGTTTGATTATCCTTGTGTCGTCCCATGCAAATTTGGTGATGTAATCAGAGGTTACTTCTCTGATTATTTAGCATTCTCAATAAGTGCATGGCTTGCATTTTTCAGTCTCTTGATTTTTCCATTGATACCAAAGAGGTTGAATGTTAGTGCAAGAATAAAGAGATTAAATTAAAGTTGATATATTTGGACATGGGAAAAGTCATTGTGTGTGAGTAAGGGTGTCTGACAATGTTGTAAGAGGAGTAGTTTAATGGCAAGCTGAGGCCTTCCTAGGAGTGGTCTCTGTGGGTTCATGCAGGGCACAAGCGGGGATAGGTGGGGCTAATTTGGGAGAAAGGTGGTCAATGGAATCCTAGTAACCAGTCCTGGATTTTTAGAACAGATTCTGTTTGTATTTTTTTATTTCTGAATCACATTCCACATCCCAGTAAAAGAGAAAAGACATAGACGGACCTCTTTGGTAAATCAGAAAGCTACTAGTCCCTTTTAAGACAGGTATAGTTGAATTCATCATTCTAACATTCTATATGTTCAAGACTTCAAGGATAATTCTAACTAAAGAAGCTCCGCTATAGTTAATTAATTAAATAATTAATTATTTTGTTTATTATTTGGATACATGATGGCAAGCATATGCTTGGAATGCAATGGACACTAATTAAGATCAGTAGCTAGTGGCATCCTTGGTACAACTCTTTTCAAGCATGAACTTACTTCTGCATCATGAGTCCACCTTTGGAATAAGTTTATCTACATAGTTTCTCTATGAGCTTCCTTACCACAATATCTATTTTAATACTATGAACAAAACATTGAAGGAACTAGCTTTTCCCTCTTTAGTCACTATGCAGGGTAGGAATTGAAAACTCCATGCATATCAAAATATCTGGCCATCTGTGCCTTTATTAGTAAGAAATAGCAAATGAATGCTATTTTGAAGTATTAATGCATTTTGTTTGCACGTAAAACTATCAATAAAATTAGCAGTTCTCTAGTTTCATGCTCCTGTGGAGCAATAAGAGTTTGGAGCAATAAGAGTTAGGAAAGTAAAAAAAATTCTTATTCCATTCTGCTTTTAGGAAATAGTTTTAGATTACCACTCTTTTAATTTACTTTTAGAAGAGTCACATAAAGAGACATTTACTTTTAAATATTAAGATATATTTATACGTAATGCCAATTTAATTTAAAGGAAATAATTGTAAAAGAATCATAGTGTTAGATAGTGACTCATACTACAAAGATACCGTCACATAAAGTCATCATCAACAAAGACTCAAAGAGTCATAATGACGCGTGTAGGAATGTATGATATATGTTCTTTTGCCGTTGAGATTTGATGTGCATATGATTATATGAAGATGGGCACACTAGGTTTGTTTTTTTACGGTGGAAAAAGTCTTGTTGGTTAACTTGATGTTGACCAATGGTTTTGAGAAATGCTGCAAGAAGCACTGCAAAGCGGTTGGGCTTTGTTGCAGAAGGGGCATAGTGGGGCGTTTAACGAGTCTGCAGCCTAGCAGTTTTAGACCCTTGTTCTCATTTTCTTGTCTTTTTTCTTATACTCTCTCCATCTCGCAATGAAATTGGAATTTACACTTTTCTTTTCCGTCTGACCCAAAATAAACTTTACACCTCCAATTTGTTTTTAGGGAAGGAATATGTGGCTCATACCAGTGCTCTCTTTTCTAAACAATTCTTACTGCACCCTTTTTACTTTTCAACACTTTTCTTAAGCTGTGTGAAGTCAAATTGTAAATATCATTGTGGGGCGGAAGGATTATTTTGTAACAGGTGCAGCATTTTACAGATATTTCCAAATAATTATAAATTTTGTTCTAAGAGAAGGATTGTGCAATTGTCCACAGGCAACACATGTAGCTGCTCAGTATGGTCAGACAGCATTTCTTTATTATATAGTTACAAAATGGAATGCAGATCCTGACGTTCCTGACAATGATGGGAGAAGTCCATTACACTGGTATTCAATTCTAAGCATTGTTTTAGCTATCTAATTAGTCTTGGACTATTATGTGGCACATTATCTTTACAACTGTGTATATTCCACTAAAGGAAAGTATGTTCGTGTAAACTGCTAAAATATGTGGCTGTGGGCTAAACATTACATTATACATGAGGCAATTTATCTTCTGCATAAAACCTTTTCACTTTCCGTCAATTGATCAGGGCGGTTCAATTGTTTTTATGTGTTAATTGGAAAAAGAATAAAAGAATACGTTCATTTTTTTGTTGTGGGCAGTTCCCAATGTCATGGGATGACCCGGGACCGCTACAGTGTTCCATTCAAAAAATTGGCGGTTCCTATCCACGGTAAAACTCCACCCGGCCCAAACTCACCCCCACCCCCTTCAATTGCACCCCGCAAAATTAGTTGGCTTTGGAGTAAAAATTTAGGGGGGTGCAATTTAAGGGGGTGGGGGGTGGGTTGGGTTAGAGAAGGGGGTTTACGGGGGGGGGGGTAGGAACTGTCAAATTTTTCGAACGGGGCCC